AGAACAAACAAACTGAGATCAAGTTTGATGAGTAATTTTTACACCAATCTAGAACACATTTTTCATGGGCTCAAGCTTGGCCCTTAGGCTCAAGCTCAACCCGACCCAACCTTGTTTGGAGCCGTATTCATTGCTTTATAAAAAAAAAAAAACCAAAGAGGTAAAAATATAAAATTAAAAAATTAAAAAAAAAAACCGACTACATCTGTCTCGGACGAGAACGGGAAACAGAATTGGGGGTATGTGTGCGCAGTGAAGAACGAAGTTAGAGAGAGAGAGTAGAGAGAGAGAGATATGCTGGAGACAGGAGCAGTTCTGAGCGGCGAGGCCATGGAATCCATATCGGAGAGACTGTCATCAGTCGAGAAGTGTGATTAGTCCAACAACAGAGGAATTGAGATCTAGGTCAACAAAGATAAAAAATCGGAGACGGGCCTTTATGGTTAAATTGATGTGTGATGGGCAGTACTTCTCCGAGGATGCGATGCAGGAGAGAGAGCCATACTTGCACCATGAGTACGTGGGACAGCTTCAGGATCCTAGTGGTAGGAGCATGTCAAGGAATAGAGGAAGCAAAATGTGGCATTGGAGGGATGTTGAGTATTATTTTATCTAGTTGTATGATTCTAAGAATTTCGTCTGTATTACAACTAAAAAGCAACTTCAGAAAGTTTTAATGGATAAAATTAATGCTTTTAACTATTTTTAAGAAAGTAACAATTCTATCTTTAAATGTTATATTGGGGCCAATTTATTTTGGTATCAAAGTCTAGGGTTTGCCATCTCCTTATTTCAATTGAAACGTGAGAGATTAACTTACTGAAACAATGAAAATAAAAATAATTTCATCCCTTCAAAATTTACTAGTTCTCTTCCATTCACAATTAATTAATCAATTAAGTTTTTCATTATGAAAATAATTTTCCTTAATCGTTATTGGTCTACTATTATTAGTGGTTCTAATCAAAGTTTGAGGGTTTGATAATGATTAAGAATAATTGTTGACTGCGGCAATCTAAGTTGTCTGACATGCAAATAAAAATCAATTTGTAATTTGGACAATAATCATATCATTTATAAAAGTGTAAAGAGTTTCAGTATTTATCAATTAATATAAAAAGGAGTTTTTAAAAGAGTTACTAGAACACACGTTTTTCTATTTATTATGACTTTTTATTTTTAAATCAATATAAGTTGTTTAGAAGAGTTTTAATCAATTATTAGATAAGGAAATATATATATAAAATAAATAATTTAGTTTATCTAATTAGACAAGAATGTATATAAAAAGTTTAATAACTGAATTCCTATTAAAAAGATTAATAATTGAATTCCTATTAGAAAGTTTAATTAATAATTAATGTTTTTACCGCTTTTACCTTGTATTAATTTTATGTTCATTGATTATGTTAGATTACATGTTTACTCATTTACCACTTGAGTTTCTTGCATACTACAAATTACCATAATTACACCTACAATATTAATATCTATAGTTTACTTATTCATCACTCACCTACCCCCAAACATTTTCTTATATATATGACCCTTATTTAATCTAAATCAATACAATGTAATATTATCTCTCCCTTTATTTATAGCATGGTATCAGAGCCAGGTTTTCTCTCTTCCAATTTTTGTTAGGTTCTTTAAATTCTTGGTGTGGTTCTAATAGCCCATCAAAGACACATATTATGCCTAGCATCCGAAATAGGTCATTTGTATGTTCGTTTGTCATTTTGATCATATCAAACGAAAGTACAGCCTTTGACCGTTTTGACGCCACCAGAAAAGGCTGAAAACAACACCGCATGTGGTGGTATCAAAGCCACTGATGGGGACGACAATATTAGTCCCATCCTCGGCGGCGGTCAACCAACAAACTCACGCTTCCGCACTCCAAGATCTTCATATGCCCCATTCAGGGAAGCCTCGTTGTTTAAGTCTTCATTCGGGAAACCTAATGAGATGCCTCATTTAGAGAAGCCCCCGCATAGGGATGCCCCATCTAGGGTAGCCTCGTTGTTTAACGAGATGCCTCCTCCAAAGATGTTCAATGTGTCGGATCAGCTTCGTCACGACGCCACCATGCGCCTCAAGCGGTAATCCCACTCTTTCATGCGCTTTCATGCGCACAAGCGGTAATCCCGCACATCACCCATCAGTTTATAGTAGTAATCACCAAGGATGGCAACGTCAACTATTTACGCTCCACACCTACCTCCAATATCTTCATATATCCATCCTATATCACTTGACATGTCAGCATTGGTGCAACGTTAGTCACATTCTGCAATGGTGTTGTAGTTGTGCCACATCAGTTGCCACGCAGTAGAGGTGCCAGAAGTAGTGCCAAGTCACCTGCCACTTCAGTTGCCATGTCATCAACCACGTTAGCATCGGTGCCACGTCAGCTACATCAGGAGGGCTGCTATAATATATTGTAGAATTTTATTGTTACCATATATAGGTTTACCATATAGGGTTTAGTTTTACTTGTTCTTCACATTTGTCGTCTCCTATATAAACCCCTATGTATTCTTATTTTATTTACATCAATACAATATATGTTTCATCTTTTTCTCTCTTTCTTTCTCTTTTATATTTAACATGGTATCATGGCCTTTTAATTTCTGGCAGTGTTATTAAAGGCTCAAGGTGCACCAAGGCGCTAGAGGTCCTTTGGAGCCTAAGCGCGAGGCGCGCGCTTGAGTGAAGTGAGACGCACAATTAAAATTTTAAACTACCATAATGACATTCATATCTCACAAGTCATATCAATATTCTAAAAATTAATAGCAAATATAAAAAAGTAAATCCATCAACTATATAAGCATTCATCTAGTTCAAGGATTAGACCTTGCTCGTCGTCCTTAACGCTGCCAGAACCGTGACTGCGAACCGCCATCACCGACACTCCAACCATGTTGTGCCTCGCCGTTCCGTGTACTTGCTGATTCGAAGTACATCGCCACCGAACAGTCCCAAATTCCCAACGGCATCCACCATCGCCGATGTGCACTGCCACCTCTTCCATGTTCGCAGTGCAGTTTAAGTCCTTTTTGGCTGGTTCAATCTTGCCGGAGGTGTCCGTGAATAACTCGTGGCGGTGCTCAGAAAGATCGATGGCAGAGAGCTCGGATGGTGGAGAGATGGGGACGGCGGGGACAACAGACAGCTCGGTGACCATAGCCTTGTAGTTGAGGTCCATTATGAGGACTTTACAGAAGTAGCATTTGTAATTCGTTTTTCGCTCCAATCCTGAATGTTATGCCGGATGGGTCTGTGCAGAGAGAGATTGGAGGAGAGAGAAGATGGCGGTGAGCTCGGCTTTGATGGGCTCAGCCAATGTCGGCTGTGATGGAGGCGACGACGAGCTCAGTTGGGATGAGCTTGGCTATGGCGGATGTCGGTTGTGGTTGGATTTGGGTCTGTAATTGGTTTTGTTGCAAATAATTTTGTGGTTTTTGCAGTTTGGTCTGTGTCGGCTGTGATGGAGTCTTAGTGGCAAAACCGTAACTTTAACAATACACAAAAAAAAAAAAGATTTTTTCATTAAACAAATAGTTTAACTCTAAGGACAAAAATGTAAATTCATATCGATTCACTAATCACAAACAGTTTAATTTGGGCCTTGCTGTTATATTGTGTCAATCTTCTATCTACATGTATAAGTTAAAAACTTAAAGGGTCCTTTGTGTAATTTGCCCTATAACTTAATTACCGGTGAGGAATAAATTTTGGTACTGCTTGCAATTTTTATTGACGCACCTGATCATAAGATGATTAATATTGTTTTCATTCAAACGGTAACATGTATTTATGTGTATATGTATATATATTAATGCAGCCATGACGTCGACGCGCGTGGTGGAAAAGGTCGGATTTTTGGAGTCTGAAAGGGTGGGATTAGTGGGTATAGCCGTGGAGACGGATTGCACCGCCAAGGAATTGAGTTTGAGCTTATGCCAAGGAGATCCAGCAGAAGCACAACAAAGATGTGATGTAGAGTGTAAGAAATTTGTGGCTAGAGGAAAATACGAGCTCAGCCAATTTGGCCCGTGTGTCTGCTACTGCGGCTAGAAAAGTCTCATCTCAACTTTTATCTCTTTCTCAAATCAATAAATGAATTATAAATCATGTCTCTCGCATTTGGCATGTGAAGAAATTTGGAATTTGCGGGGAATGGTTTGGTTTTGGCACTGATCTTTGTCCCAGCATTGTTGGTTCGGCGACGTGGTTTCTGTGGTTTTCTAGTGGGGCTACGTGGTGGCTTGTGGTTCATTCGTTTTGTTTGGCTATGTAGTCCTTTGAGTCTTTAAAGTTTTGTGACTGGGCTTTTCATTGGTTGGCCCATCGGGGTCTGGGCCTAGGCACTTGCAGGCTCCACTCTAGTTTGGGTTGCTTCTTGTTGGTCTAGGTTGTTTTTGCTATTTAATTTTGGTGGCCATTGTTGTTCTATTTGTTTCAATATCCGCTGCTGATCAGGTGCCGTCTCTCAGCTTCTCATGAAGATATTAAGTTGGAATTGTCAGGGAGGGGGAAATCCTCTCACCACTCGTCAATTAAAAAAATTGGTGATACAACATTCTCCTAATGTGATTATTTTACTTGAGACCAAAAATTATGGTGTTCATATGGAGCGGATACGTCGACAATTGGGGTATCGACACATGCTGTTTCAAGACCCAGTCGGTACTGTTGGTGATATTACGGTGTATTAGGATGCACAGACTACTCTTTAAATTTTGGATGTTAAAGACTTTCAAATCACTTGCACAGTTAAGGGGACCTCAGTTGACGAAGATTGGTGTTTTTCTGGGGTCTATGCTTTTGTGGACGATAGGCAACGTATGGAGCAGTGGTGATACTTACACCAACTTCAATCACGGCTTCTGCAACGATGGGTTCTCTTAGGTGATTTTAATGACTTATTGTACCAAGAGGAGAAATTTGGGGGGCGAAGGAAACAAGGTTGGCAACTACGAGCGTTTCGAGACATGGTGGAGAAATGTCATCTTGTTGACTTGGGCTACTATGGCTATCCTTTCTCCTGGTGTAATCAGCGGGATGGTCGTGCCAATGTTCGTGAAAGATTGGACAGAGCTTTAGCAACTCATGAGTGGGGTACTCACTTTACTTACGCCTTTGTTACCAATATTAGAGTTTTCGGCTCTGATCATTCGGCTATTATGTTGTCTTTAACTCAGCAAAGGGTCTCTAAAGGCAGATGTTTTCGGTTTGATGCTCGGTGGTTGACATCTGAGGAGTGTGCAAAAATTGTGGCAGATTCATGGCAGACAAGTTGTCGAGATACGCTTCAATTTCAACTAAAAAATAAGATTACTACCTGTCGACAATCACTCAAGAATTGGAGTCAACGTTCACAGTGGAATTCACAGTTCAAGATTTGAGAACTTGAGACTAGATTGAAGCAGATGAAAGAGCAATCAGGCCATTTTAATTCGGTTTAGTATCATAACGTGGAGAAGGATTTAGGCGAGGCTTGGAAGGCCGAGGAATTGTTCTGGAAACAAAAATCCAGAATTGATTGGTTAAAGTTAGGTGATCACAATACCAAATTTTTTCATTCGTCTACCTTAAAACGTCGTCGTCGGAATGCTATAGGGGGATTGGAAGATGAAAATGGGATTTGGTGCACTAATGAAACACAAATTCGAACTATTGCTGAGAGATTTTTTCAAAATCTTTTCACTTCGGATAGAGTTGTTGTGCATGGGTCTTTTTGGGATCTCTGGCAAAGCAAAATTACAAACCAAATGAATGAGTGTTTGTTGCAGGATGCTACAGAGGTTGAATTATATCAAGCTGTTATGGAGATGGGGGCTTTTAAAGCACCAAGTCCCGATGGTCTCAGCCCCATTGTTTTTCAGAGCTACTGGTCCGTCATCAAACTAGACATTCTTCAAGCATTTAATGATTTCCTTCACAGTGGTCAGCTTCTTAAGAGCCTTAATGCGACTAATATTGTTCTCATTCCGAAAGTAAAAGTACTAACAAAAATCTCTCAATTTCGTCCGATCTCTCTCTGTAATGTTATTCTTAAAATCTTTACTAAGGTCTTGGCTAATCAGTTGAAACCATTAATGTCATTAATTATTAGTCAAGAATAGAGTGCTTTTGTTCCAGGTAGATGGATTACCGATAATATTTTAGCCACCCATGAAGTGTTACATTATCTTAAACGTCGGAGGGGGAGAACCAGCAAATATCTCACCGTAAAATTGGATATGGCTAAGGCATATGATAGGGTGGAATGGGAATATTTGGAGTGGGTGTTGCTCAAATTGGGTTTTGCCGGCCAATGGGTGAAGGTGGTTATGGAATGTATTACTAGTGGTGATCCACTCTCACCATATCTTTTCCTTCTTTGCACAGAGGGTCTATCAAAATTATTACACCACATATCATTGATTGGAACCCTCTCTGGTGTTCAAGTTGGTCAAACAGCCTCTACGCTTACCCACATGCTTTTTGCTGATGATTCGTTACTTTTTTGCAAGGCAAGGGTCTGTGAAGTACAACAAATAAAACAAATTCTTCATCTTTATGGCAAATTGACTGGCCAACAGGTGAATTTCGATAAATCTTCAATTATATGTAGTGCCAATGTCACGAGGACTGAGAAGGATGAATTGGGTAGAATTTTGGGAATTTCCTTGGCTAACACCCATAATAAGTATTTGGGCCTTCCACCTGAAATAGGGCGATCTAAACGGGAAATTTTTTAGTTTCTTGAAGATAAAATGGAAGCTAAGATTCGAGGTTGGAGGCATTCTTTCTTTCAACTGGGGGGAAAACAGTTCTTCTTAAGGTTGTTCTCCAAGCCATTCCAAACTTCACTATGAGTTGCTTCAAAATTCCTTTGGGTGTTTGTCAAAAATTGCGAAGCAAACTTATTCAATTTTGGTGGTCAGGATCCAATGATCACAAAGGTGTGTGCTGGACCAATTGGGACGTTTTGTGCAAAAACAAAGCAGCAGGTGGCCTTGGATTCCGAGACTTAGAAAACTTTAATTTGGCTCTTTTGGCTAAACAGGGGTGGAGGTTGGAAGTGGAAGAAGTTCCTTGTTTTCAAAGGTGTTCAAAGCTATATATTTTTCCAATTTCTCCTTTATGCAGTCTCGTCTTAAGAGTGGGACTTCGTGGGCATGGCGTAGTATTTATTCAAGCAAAGACATCCTTCTAAAAGGTTTTCGGTGGAATGTGGGTAATGGTCGAAGTATTAACATTTGGAACGACTCTTGGATTCCAAAATCAATGGATTTCAAAGTTCAAACTCCTTGTCCTGTGAGCTGTGATCTTCAACTGGTTTCTGATCTTATTGATCACCATACCAAGAGTTGGAACTGTTCTCTATTACATCAATTTTTTGGTGTTGAAAATTACACGTTTATTCAAAGAATTCTTATCAATGAATTTGTTGCCATCTGTTCCTTGCCACACATGACTTCTGCTCTAATGGTTGAAGCTACAACGGCTCAAGAGGCTATCAAATGGAGTTCGGAGGGGGGCTTTACTGATTTAATTGTTGAAGGTGATTGCAAAGTTTTTCTTGATTCAAAGAGTCCTCAGAGTTGCGTAGCTGCTATTTGGGACGATATTAGCTTTTTGCTTACCAAGTTTCAAAGCATCTCTTTGAAGTGGGTTGGTAGAAAAGCTAATTCAGTAGCTCATGTATTGAGTCATCTGGGTTTGAAAGAGAAACGTGATATAATGTTTGATCTTACTATTCCCAGAGTGATTCAAGAAGCCGCCTTTATGGACTGCCATCAGTTGTAATGTGTTTTTTCTTTGAATCAATGACATCTTCTTTCTTCCCTTGAAAAAAAAAAAAAAAAATGTAGTATCAAATTTCTGTTTGAGGGATGTTTATGCACAATGTTAAAAGAAAAATACGGAATTATTTGTATATTTTTTTTAAATAGGAGATAAAAGTGCTCGCGCGAAATATGTAATAAAACTCAGCAGCTCCTCCAATTAACTTATTTATTTATTTATTTTTTAATTTTAAAAAACTTGCTATTTAGGCCGAAATTGGCCTAAATAGATAGAGACAAGAGACAACCAAATGTGCCCTAATTACATGGTACGAAATTGTATGCAATAAAAGCCCTTAACTTAAAAAATCTTGCTATTTATTATGAATATATATATTGCTATTTAGGCCGAAATTGGCCTAAACATGTAAGACACAACCAAGGGTGATTCCAACGACTTCTCCAATTACATGCTACTAAATTTGTACGCAATATACGTTCATTAACTTGGACGCGGAAGTTGGCCCAAACCAATATGCAAAACCAATGGTGGGCCCACCATTGGGGCAAACAATTGTCCTTTAAAGTTAGAAGCCCACTATACCACATAGCCAACACTCTCTAACTGTTTATTTTTTAATTTATGTGAAAGAGAAGTTTTCTTTCAGAAATTCAAGTAATGGCATAAGTGTGTTTTTTTTTTTTTTTTTTTTTATTCAAAATACGGCATGAATTGGTGCTGGGTAATGCGGATAATATAGCGCTCTCATTCAATAAGAAATAATTATTTTTTGTAAAGAAGAAAGGTGTTTGCAGACAAATATTATTGCGAAGTCATATTATGTTTAATAATCATGTCAAATAATTATAATATAATAGAATCTCTAACATAAGATCAAACAGGAGAATTCCTATATCATCATCGTGTCCAAAAAAATTGCGAAATACATGAAAGGTTACAAGAATGAGATACTATTGCAATAATAGATCTACGTTATATCAAACGTCACATCACGCAAAAGTTACTAATCGAAACGATTAGTTGAATATCTAATTAAGCTATGATTGGTTTTAGAAAGAAAATAGAAGAAGGTCATGTGCTTTTTTATCTTGGAGAAATATTTGGATTATTAGTGTTTATGGGTGAGGAACATGCTTAGTTGCTTTTTCTTTTGCCGGCCCATTTGTAATTCTACTTCTCTCTCATCCCCACAATTAAAATACAATTAATTCTTAATTACCTTTCTATGTAGTATAAATTAGTCAAGCCCTCTCTATCATGTGATCTTTCCTACTCTCCAATTGGTCTTCTTTGTTTTTCCCTCTCTCACTCTGGCTCAGATATGTTAGTATCATATACTCCGTAGTATTGATTATATATTATATGTGTGTGTATATATATATAGAGAGAGAGAGCCCACTTGGTGGTCTTGGATCTGGTGGAGTTCGTCAATGGGGCTGTGCTCGAGATTCTAAAAACTAAAAATGTTAAAAGTGTGAACCAATGAAGACAAAGGATTATGCATGTTCTAATGAAGCATCGAGTCCAGCTCCGGTCTCTTGCCTGCCGACATATGATCAATTGGTGACACCTTTTCTATTCGTTTACATTTTAATTAATAGGGGTCAAGTTAATTAATTACCATGTTGGTATGATTAATATAGTTGCAATTAACAAAACATAAACTAGGCAAACTATCTGCATCACATATTAATTGTCCCCTTCAAAAAAATGTGAGTTAAAGTTATCGAAATAGACATTTTATATGTGATATATGTAATATATAAGTATATAAAATGAATGTTCCTAAAAATGATCTCAAATGACTCAAAAATAAAAAAATAATAGTAAGTCAAAGTTTTCAAAATAGACAACTATTATGGGATGGAGCTACATAAAATATAGCGAATTTGAGAGCAAGAGTATAAAAACAATAAAATTAAGTTACAAATAGTGGGAGCGTGAGAGCGAGAATACATTTTGAATGTGAGAGCTACACATTAAAAATGATTGTTTAACTTAGTTCTAATTTGTGATTATAATTGACTATTATATTGCCTGCCTCTTTCTCCGTCGAACAAGCTTACTTTGTTAAATATACACCGCAACCTATGTGATAAAGGAAAATGATTGTTACACCGAATAGTTGAAGTGAATTGCTAGACCTACCGTTCTAATTGGTCAATTATGAAACAAATAAGAAAATTGAGCCTTCCACTTAGTTGTATTTGATATAAATTACTAATTTAAAATTATTCAGTTAAGTAATTCACTGTAAGTATTCGGTGTGAGTATTACTACCCTGATAAATGAATGAAATTAGCATTCTCTACCTCTAAATTGTATATACACATTGCATATCATAAGTACAAGTAAAATTACATAATATCAATATCTAAACCTTTTGCTTCCCAAAAAAAAAAAAAAAAAAATTCTAAGCCTTCCCATTTTTGATAAATCAGATATGTGTTGAATATATGCACTTTCTACATTAGACTCCGTATTATGTATCAAAACGATATTATTTTGATACATCCTGTAAACAGTATTTTCCCATCTCATTGTAATTATTATTTTTTAAAAGTCTATTTTAATTTGAAGAAACACCGTTCCATATGAGTGTAAATGTACC